TATGAAAAGTGAATTTACTCTGTAAATCTTCACCCAAATCCTAATTAAAAAAAAAAAAAAAGAAAGTGAGAAAAGAAAAGAATCATTCGGATTCCAGGGACCTAAGAATGGGCTCGGTTGGCAAGGTTGGCAGGGATATACAAGAAGCTGACAACAGGAAAGGAAACAGGTGGTGAGTATATAAGTGTTGTCAACTAGGGAATAGAGAAGCACAGCACCCTTCTTGTGTAGATAACACACAAACAAAACAAAGAAAATAAAAATTGTGGGCAAGTCATGCCAACATACAATCATCAATTAAATATAAATACAAAAAGTCACAATGCCTCAGAGACAACAGAGCATCACAGTCCATACAAAGAAGCAAGATAAAGCAGGAGAAACAAGGGACTAGGAGACAGACCCAAAACACGTCCCTGAGGAAGATGCAGCATTGGAACTCCCTGATAAGGAATTCAAAAGAATTATATTTAGGTATCTGAAACAAACTGAGAGATAGATCAAGGAAAACACAGAGGAAACCCTAGAACAATTTCAAAAGACAATATAACAAAATGACAAAATAAATGGAAAATTAGAAATGATACAAAATCTACACACAGAAATCCAGAAGACTAATACTAAATTTTCAGAAACAGATAAGACATTGAATGGGCAAAGGAGCAGAATTGAATCAATGGAAGACAGAATTAGGGAAATTGAAGGCAAATACCTGAACACTCCTTTGGAAAGGGATCAATCAGAAAAAACAGCAAAACAAAACGAAGAAAGTCTAAGGTTCGTGATACCATCAAAAGGAATAACCTATGTGTAATGGGAATTCCAGAACAGGAAGAGAAAAATAACACCACAGAGAAAATTGTCAAAGATTTGTTGGAAGAGAATTTTCCTGGTATGATGAAAGATGAGAATACATCCATTCACGAAGTCCAACGAATCCCACACAGGATAGAATCCAAAAGAAAATCACCCAGACATATCACCATCAAACTTACCAAAACCAGAGACAAAGAAAGAATCTTAAGAGCAGTATGGGAAAAACGAAAAGTTACCTACTAGGGACAACCAATAAGACTAAGCTCCAATTTTTCGACAGAAACCATGCAGGTGAGAAGACAATGTAATGGTATATATAAAACACTGAAAGAGAAAAGTTTCCAACCAAGAATTATGTACCCAGCAAAATTGTCCCTCAAATATTATGGTGAGATTAGGACATTTCCAGATAAGCAGAAATTAAGGGAGTTTGTTAAAACCAGACCAAGCTTACAAGAGATGCTAAAAGGAGCCCTTTGGACAGAGAAGCAACAACAGCCAACAACAACTGACCATTAACACACATGATATAACCCAGAAACCAACCAAGCTATGGAAGTATCCAAAGTAAAGAAGTCTACAAGATTGTAAACAGGGAACCAGAGACATCAATTGACAAATGAGGACAACTACAAACCAAAAAGAGGGAAAAAACTGTGTCTTTACAGAACTTCTAGATGGTAGGGAAGTCAAGACAACTACAAGATAGAATGGACTGTTCTAAACTTGGGAAGAAAACTATAAATCACAGGGTAACCTCAAAGAAAAATGATAACCCTTCACATCAAAAAAGACCAGCATAAATATTCAGCAAATACTAAAACAATAGCAATGAAGGAAGTGACAATATGATTCATAAACAAAATGAGCTCAGCATAGAAAATTATATGGAATGAAGAAATCAACACCACGAAAAAGCACATAACAAAAATGACAGCAACAAATTCATATTTGCCAATAATGACATATATAGCAAGGGACTTATCTCTAAGATTTATAGCAGAAGAGTGGATGACCAAACAATAGTACATACATATAATGGAATGCTATGCAGCACTAAAGAATAATGTAGAGTCTGCACAATACCACATAATATGGATGAACTTGGAAGACATTATGCTGAGTGACATAAATCAATCACAGAAGGACAAATATAGTATTAGTTCATTATTGTGGAGGGTCAAGGAAAGGTTTATATATGGAGGGAAACTTTGTTGGTTGCAGGGGTGGGAGGGCAGGGGAAGGAGCACTACCAAAAAAAAAACCAAAACATTAACTCATGCCACTTTAGTTTTGTGTATTTCACTGTATATAAATTATATTTCAATAAAATGCATTTAAAAAAAAGTTGATTTTGACTCATGGTGACCCCATGTGTGAAAAGCAGAACTACTCCATTGGGTTTTCAGGGTTATGATCTTTTGGAAACAGTTCACCAGACTTGTCCTCTGAGGTTCCTCTGGGTAGGTCCAAACCACCAACCTTTTGGCTAACAGTCGTGCGTTTAACCATTAGGCTAATGATAATTCAGTGCTTCTCAAGCTAGAAGGTTCCCGGAGAACTGTAAAGGACATTTTTGAAATGGCCTTGGAGATTTCAACTAACAGCCATTTCTAGTGTTGAGGAAACACACTTCTCTCCCCTCAAACAATATAAAGGGCTAAACTGATCCTAATATCAAATCAGCTTACTAAAATAGTTCAAGCCCACTACTCTTAATTACATTTATGGAATGTTACAAAGACAACTCCTTCTAAGCTTAGATAAATCTGACCACTTTCACGTCACCCCCTCTTGCAGCCCTCCCTTACTGTTCACCTACAGCAGTTTGCTCATATCTCTCTTAGCACATTTTCAATTTAGCCCTTATAAATCAATGTATTTGTTTCCCTCTTTATTGCGAACTCCTCAAGAACAAGGACCTTGACAACAACTTGATATTATCACAGTACATGGAATAGAGTCCATTATGTAATCCAAAACCAAAAGCCATCAAGTCAATTCCAAGTCATAGCGAACCCATAGGGTTTCCACGGTTGTAAATCTTTCCGGAAGCAAACTAACTCATCTTTTTCCTGCACAGCAGATGGTAGGTTCAAACCACCAACCTTTGATTAGTAGCCAAATGCCTTAACCACAGCACCAACAGGGCTCCAATAAATGTTTGTTGAATAAATGCTATTTAAACTAGTAGCTAAAGATTACTTCCCCGGATAGCAAGATGTGAATTTTGCACACAGTTGCTTCCCTAACATCCTCACACCTTCTTACTTAACAGTAGCCAATTTTCATTTGGGTATCTGCCACTTCCCTATATTGTCCATATGATGCAGAGAAAGCTGTTCTCACATCTCCAGCTTTCAGGGAAAGCTCTCATTGATTGTCCACCAGTTCCCTGCTTTAGCCCTAGCCAGAGACTCATTCGGGACAGCCACATGACCTGTCGTTATAAGCATAACTCTCAGTACTCATACTTGGAATTCTGGGGCAGAAATACTTTTGCTGTTTTTTTTTTCCTCTCCTCCTCCCTCTCCCTCTGGATAGGACAACATATTCCTAAAAACTGTTGGTAGCCATCCTGCTACTATAAAGGGAGTTATCCTTAAGCTGAGGTTGACACCTTAGAACAAAAGAAAGAGCTGAAGTTTTTGGTAAACATCAGGTCAGAAGCCTGCCCTACCAATGGGCTTCTCAATCATGCAGTTAATAAATGGTGGCATAGTGCCTAAGGCACTTGACTGCTAACCAGAAGCCTGGCAGTTCAAACTCACCAGCCACTCCTCGGAAGGAAGGTTGGGCAATCTACTTCCTTAGTGATACCGCCTCAGAAACCCAAGGAGGGGTCGCTATGAGTCGGATCCGACTCGATGGCAGTGTGTTGTGTTGTTAAATGCTTTTATTGTTTAAACTATTTTAAGTAAGTATCGTATTACTTTGTAACACAAGGAGTTCTAACTGATATAGAATCTCTTGGGAGAAATCCTCCCATGGAGGGAAGCTGTATAATAAACAATAAAATGAAGCACTACTAAAGATAGTGAAAACTCAAACTAAAATCAGAAAAGGATATCCAAAAATATTTTAAATGCTATTTTTAATTTCTAAACAAATATATTGAAGACTCAGATATGAGAGGAAAGATAAATTACTAAGAAGTGCCATGGACTATTCATTCCTTCCATTTGTTATGTATCCATTTGTACTATCATCAACAGAGATATTTTCAATCTATCAAAACATAACTCTAAATATAACAAATGAGAAATAAAAAATTTTAAAAAATAAAGAAAAAAATATAACAAATAAATAAATAAATAGATGCAGATAGAAATTGCTTACTGAAATAGTCAATAGGAGAGAAATATCAGAACTTCAGATTATTAATCAAATATTAAAATAATTTAAATGTAAATCATTTGCAATCATACATTAAATCTTTAAAGCAGCTAACTGTATGTTACAATTTTCAGTATGAGTAGAGGAAAAGTTACTAAAATAGTATCATATTTATAAGACTGAACTATCAGCTGAATCAAGAGAAAGGAAATGACTCTCCAAATCAAAAATCAAAGTAAGTCTTTCAAAAGATACAAATAATGAGGTAAGTAAAGACTGAAATAATATATGGCTTCTAAATTCTAAATTTTGTTATTTCATTTACAGCCTTGCAAATGCTATGGTACAGTTCTACTCTGCCCTGTAGGGGCTATGAGTCAGAATTCACTCGATGGCAACAATAAACAGCAGTGTAGTACACTGCTCAATCATTATCATCAAGTTAATTATTTTAAAAATTGGTAAAAATCAACTTTACATGACTTTTGAGTTTAACGGCACTAAACTTACTTCACTAAGAATAGCTGGCTGAGGGCAATATAATGGAGGAGCTGGGAGATACAAGCCTGCTGGCACTAAGCCCCACAGTCTCTTACTGAAGTCCTTGGCAGAGTCTATCAGAAGCTGAAATGTCGCTGAAAGAATATCTGCATCAGCCATCACTGCTGCTTTCAGAACCTCTTGCACTGAACCAAACAAAAGATTTGTATCTTCCTCTTCAATAGGATCTATCAAATACAAAATCAGGTCAAATCATTGAAAATTACTATTCATAATTCAAAATTCATCTAATTTTATAGGATGAAATTTCAAACCTGAAAAAGTTGATCAAAAATGGATATACTTGGTAACATGCAAAACACCAAGCTTACAAACAGAAATTTGTGAAGTATTTTGTTACCTTAAGACTACAGGCAATCAGAGCATGAGATTTTTCCCCAGAATCAGACAAGATACTGTAATAAGAAGTATGTAATAAAAATCTTCTTGGAATTTAGTTCAGAGTCAAAAAGTAACAATACAAGTTGAAAAAGTATTAATGGAAAAGATCAGTCTATCAAAATAATTCCCAAAATTATGTGAAGATAGAAGTAACTTTTTCCTTTTCTTAATATTCAATAATACTTTTATAATAATAAAAATTAATCAAAATGATTATAATGTAAAGCTAAGAATGGAGAAAATACAAAATAGTAGTACAGTATGGCTGTAACAATCTCTATATATGTGGACACAGCCTAGAAGGTAAAATGCAAAGAAATGTAAGGTAGTAGAACTGGAGATTTAGGGTTTTTTACTGTTAGATTTTTAAAGCATTCAGTAAAGTACAGAATATGAAAACACCATTAACTCACTTGTCAGCCTTGTCAAATACTAATGTTTTCTTTTTTTATATTCAACTTAGATATATTAAAAAAAATTATAAATGTGGCTGAAATTCCTTCTATAGCATTTCTATTCCACTCGCTCTCCCTGCAGAGACAGCCTGTCTTGGCTCCCCAGTGCTGCTGTAACAGACACACCACAAGTGGATAGCTTAACAAACAGGAGTTTATTCCCTCAGTTTCCTGTTGTTGTTAGGTGTCGTCAAGTCAGTTCCAACTCATAGCGACCCTATGTACAAAGACTGAAAGAATGCCCAGTCATGCAACATCCTCCCAATCCTTGCTATACCTGAGCACATCATTGCAGCCACTGAGTCAATCCATTTCATTGAGGGTCTTGCCCTTTTTGGCTAACCCTTCACTTTACCAAGCATGATTCCCTTCTCCAGGGAATGGTTCCTTCTGACAACATGACCAAACGAGGTGAGATGAAGTCTGGCCAGTCTCACCTCCCAGAAGCATTCTGGCTGCTCTTCTTCCAGGACAAAGTTGTTCATTCTGCTAGTCCATGATACTTTCAGTATTCTTTGCCAACACCACAACTCAAAAGCATCAACTCTTCTTTGGTCTTCCTTATCCATTGTCCAGCTTTCACATGCATATGAAGCTACTGAAAATATCATGGCTTGAGTTAGTAGCACCTTAGTCTTCAAAGAGACATCTTTGCTCTTCAGCACTTTAAAGATGTCTTTTGCAGCAGATTCTTCCAGTGCAGTATGTCATCTAATTTCTTGACTGCTGCTTCCATTGGTTTTGATTGTGGAAACAATATGAATTCTTTGACAATTTCAATCTTTTCTCCATTTATCATGATGCTATTTATTAGCTCAGTTGTGAGGACTTCATTTTCCTTATGTTGAGGTATAATCCATACTGGAGACTGTAGTGGTCAATCTTCATCAGTAAGTGCTTCAAGACATCTTCACTTTCAGCAAGCAAGGCTGTATTGTTATGGAGTCTTCCTTCAATCCTGATGCCATGTTCTTCTTCATACAGTCCAGCTTCTCTGATTGTTTGATCAGCATACAGATTGATTAAGTATGGTGAAAGGATACAACCCTGATGCACTCCCTTCCTGATTTTAAACCATGCAGTATTCATCTGGCTTTTGGTCATTGGTGTTCAATGTGTCAAATCTATTCTAAAGATGGTCTCTAAATTCAGGCAGGATATAAACAAGATCATATTTTGGCTCCTCTGGACTTCTTTTAATTGCCTTCAGTTTCAACTTGAACTTGCATTATGAGCCATTGATGGTCTGTCCCACAGTCAGCTTCTGGCCTTGTTTTGGCTGAAGATATTGAACTTCTCCATTGCCTCTTTCTATGGATATAGTTGCTTTTTTTCCTGTATATCCCATCTGGTGAAGTCCATGTGCACAGCTACCGTTAATATTGTAAAAAAAGGAGGCGGGGCAAGATGGCGGACTAGGCAGAAGGATTGCACAGACCCTCTTCAACAAAGAAAAGGGAAACCAATTAACACAGACACAGAAGATA